CACCTAATATTAAAAAATTCACTAGTCACTCAAAAAACATCAGAACAAGCTTAAAATCACAGGATATGATTAATGTTAACCGCTAGACGTGATTATAAGAGCGAAAAAATCTAAAAACATATCTTTGTTAATAAGTTTTCCAGAAACCCTTGTTGGAGAACCTCAAGGTTTTTATACAATTTATTTCGAGATCTCCTATAAACAGGATATAGCTTAAATACTCTACATTCTGAAGTTTTGAGCTTGTTCTGATGTTTTTTGAGTGACTAGTGAATTTTTTAATATTAGGTGAAAATAGCCTGAAAACCCTAATTTTCGTAAAACTGGCTTTTCGGTAGATTTTTAAAATTTTTTCTAAAAACAAATATTGCCACACGACTCAGCATGGTCGATTACCCATATTCCATCCGTTTTTAAGGCTACCAAGAGTCACCTGGTACCAGTCCTGGGACTCGTCGGAAATCCGGTACAACGCCCGAACCGAAGAAAATCAAGGTCTCACTTTACTTCCGTTTTGGAGAGAATACCCCGGGCTATCAGTCCATGAAAAAAGGTCAATGCATTCCTATGTGAATTTCGGCAAATCCAAGCTAGTTTTCCAAAGATCTTCTGAAAAACTCGCTTCAGAAGTTTTTTCGAAATTCGCTTTTGCTTACAGGAATATGTGGTCAGGTATCTAGTTTTTAAAAATGAAAACCACAAGTCTCTATCTTGTTCCTATCAAAAGTTATTCAAAAAACATCCACCTACCTTGACTTCTGGAACCAATAATAGTATTTCGCATAATCCTATAAACTCGTTTCCCCAAAGCTTATTAACTATATCTTTCCATCACTATTGAATTTTCATGGACTAGTAGGATATAAGATCGACAATAACAATAACTCATAAAGCGAAAGAAAAGTACAGAGACATTAGAAGTACTCTAGTGGCTCAGTCTCATGCATCGCCACCCGCACCACCAAAAGTCAGCTCTCATATAGCGTAAACTTCAGACTAATTCAACATCAGTCTAAAAGTTTAACAAAAATCTAGGCTTCTCAAACGTCTAAGTTAATCTTTGACTATTACACGTATGGCCGATTCTACCTTTTTGAAGGTCAAAAAATGCCGACAGGTTCAAAATCTTGTAATTCTGAAACTCTTGATATTTTGAAGTACTTGACAGTGATAGAATCTTACATTTTGAATTTGAGAAAATGCCGACATGATCAAAATCGCCAAATTCTGAAACTCCTGACATTCTGAAATTGTGGAAGGTTTTTCAATTCTACGGTTTTTGAGGTCCGAAAACTTTGGCATGCCCAATAAAAATCTTAAAATTCTGAAACTTTTGATATTCTACAGTTCTTGAAAGTCTTTTTTTTGCAGTCCAGTTTCCCTCTCTGTTCCAACTATTTTCGATGGACTGTATGTTCAAGTATTGTAATCGAGAAAGCAAAATGTCAACGCGGAATTTCGAAGTTCTGCTCCTCGGAGCAAACCAGAGAAGCAGTCACGTCAGTTAAGGAAAAAAGTTTAATATGTACCTCGAAACTTTTATTGGGATTAAAATCCTGGATCCATGAAGTTATCGATGAGACTCTACTGTCACAAAACGTCTAAGCTAAATCGGTCGGGTCCACAGGAGAAGAAGTTTTTCCTGAGAAGGGGGAGCCTTTAATGGCAACATCCTCCTTTTCTGCGCCATAAAAGTCACTTTGGTCGAAAGTTGAGTTGGACATATTCTCAAGGACGGCTAACGATTCTCTTTAAGATGTGCCATCACCGGGGTTAAATTGCAGTTTTCTCAAGAAGTCACGAATTTTTTACAAAATGCTTCAAAAATTGAATTTTTCAGTCAAGTTTTTGTTTGTTCAAAGTTTGGGTTAAAAGTTTCGGGATATAAGTGAGAAAAATAGAGCAGACTCTTCTGAGTTGAATGACATCACCCTCACCATAAGGCGACATCGGGATCAAAGTTATGGTCATCTTAATTAGAGCTACATTTTGGAGCCAGATCGTTAACAACGCCCCTCCAGGATCGCCGTTTCTCGAGAGAATTTGAAGTTTTGGAAACGGGAAATATCGAAAACCGATCCGATCGAGCTGAATTTTTTTCACGAATACTAGAAGAAAATTGAAAAAAGTATTTTCTCAAATTTTATTTTACTCACATTCCTTGATTTTTGGAAATTATTGGATTTTTAAAACTCAAAGATGATTTGAAAAATCTTAAAAAATACATTTTTTGATTTGCATCTAGTATTTATTATTGTCGAAAGTTTCAGCTCGATCCAATCACTTCTAAATTTAATTTAAAGTTAAGGGGTGGCTTTAGGCCAATTTGTTCACTTGTGCTCCCTTTCCTATATGTCTTAGATGAAAGTATCGGACGATTTTCAGTTCGACAACTTTTCATCTACTAGACGAACTCTATTTGTTTGTGCTGAAAGTTTTAGAACGATCGGATCAGCTGTTTTTCAGAAAGACCGAAAGGGAGGAGTGCCCTTAATACGTACCTACGCTCCGAAGAATTGACTATCTGGCAGTGATCACTTCTGGTAATTCCTATGAAGCACATGGCCAGCATAAATAAATCTATGCTACTGCAAAGCCCTGTCAATGACATGCGATGAAATAATCGAGCACCATCGCAAATCATTGGAATCTGGCACAGAAAACTGAATTGTAAGTAATCCCCCACTCAGGATTGTTTGCTGGGAGCCTCACTTTTGCCAATCGATAGCTTTATGTATTACTTTCCAAAAAGTGTTTGTTCTGATGCCCCAAAAAGCTGTTTACAAACAGCTGCAATTTGCTGCTTTTTCCGTTTTGTTGATAGAGAACACATAGGTAGGTACATGACTTGCAGAGCTCACCTTTGTCTGTACATCAACACACGCCGCAAATTTTTAGAGCTTTATTTTTTTATTGTACAACCATTCCACTCGGAGCTCCAAATCAGCTGCACTGGCTCATTGTGTGTTTATCGGAAAAAAAGACGAAATCACGAAAAACAATAGAAGTGCTGCACATTTAGCTCGATCAATAGGCATCTACCAAAAAGGGAGATATCCCTTTTCGCACATGTACATCGTATATATATCTGATCGCTGCTGTCTTTTGCTCTTTTTCTTCCTCGTCCCTTTGCGTCATATGTGTGGCAATGTTTACACACGTATATCTTGTGCGAGAAGAGATATCTCCTGTTATGCTAAATCCCTAATGATTTAAGTCAAGAAACATAAATGATGAAGTATTATTTCTATCCGCTACATATTTTAGAATCAATAAATGTGAATTTTTTGCACACAATATAGATCCAAACAATTTGAAACCTCGACATATGCCACTATCAATTGAAACAACAGGTATGCCTGGTATAAAATTAACAGGAACAATTTTTCAACGTATAGAACTAAGACAACTTTTTTACTACATTTTGAGTAAACACATAAACTTCTCTCGTTTTCCTTAATAACTTATCTTTCATTTATAGCAAGTGTAAGTGAGCGTATTCATCGTTGTCTAACAGACATTGAAAAGCATCGAGTTCAACGGATATTTTCTTCTTGTCAAGATGGATGTTTCATTAGCTTATGTTCATATGGCAATATCTTGTAATTTTTATACTAACACTAGACAAGAAAAGAGGAATTGCAACAGCAGATAATGTTTCAAAAAGAAATAAAAATAGCACATGATCACTGTTGAAAAAAAAAGAACAAAAGAAATATAATTCGAACAATAAAACAGCAAAATACACAAGCATAGCTTTTTTCTCTACTAAACGAATACTGTAAGATAATCATTTAAATCTCGACGTAAGACCATCGCCTGACTCGATTGTGTACCGGCACTAATAGACGACTAAAAAGTGAAGATAACAAACAAACAAATGAGTATAAAAATAATGGGGACAAAAGTGTTGATGGATGGTATTTAGACAAAAAAATTCGGTTACTACCTGATGTTTTGAAAACGTCATCGTTTCATTTGATTTCTTTTCTCTGCCCTCCCTCTTTATGATAATGCAGTCTTAAAAAGCCATATAGTTAGTGTGAAAATTTGCTCAAAAATAAATACATTTCTAAGGCATTTTGTATTACATAATAGTAATAGTTTAAATAATGTATGTGTTATGTCAAAAAAATAGGATTTCTGTTTGCTTAAAAGAGTAAATAAGAATTTTTTTATGAATTCTATGGTTTGTATAGAATTTGTGACAAACTTGTCATTTAATATTTTGCTATTTTGTCAAAAAAAGGTAATAATATGTTTACAGTATTAATAAGGAAGAAGTCTTATAGATCATCATTTACATCCGTGTTTTCAATGTGAAATTTTTTTTTCTCAATCAAATTTACAAAATTCGACTGCTCATTTGTACATAATATTAGTTTGTAAAAGAGTCAATCTTTAGGACTTTCATACTTAAAGTTTTAAATAATTTAAGCAAAACGTATGTTAGTTGGCAAATACAAATGTTAAGAAGCTGCACACATATCTATACCCAAACACATTTTGTTGTTAAGAATGAATTGAAGTACTTAACAAGAATGTTAGACAGCATTTAATTGATTGTACTATGAATGATGAATTGGTTTTTTAGTTAACAAAATGAGAATAGATTAAGTAAACCACACTCTTTCATCTACATTCGCAAGAACTTGAAATGTTCAATCGCGTTTTTTCATGTAAAAGTATAAAAAAACAAATATAATATGTGCAAGAATTAAATTGTTAGTGAGAATATCACAACACACAAAGCATAGTTATTAGCACCGTGTAGCCGCTAAATGTTCACTATTGTTGAACAGAGCATTATCAAAAATGAGTATTTGTTTTGTGTTTGTAGTTGTAGTAGAAAGTAGTAATTGTTTAGTAGAAGATGGCGACGAGCAGGATGAAGAGGGTGATACAGTTTTAGTTGATAAAGAATTATTAGTATTAGCTACCTCATGAGATTCGCTAATAATATCCATACTGTCTTCGGCTGGTCTCAAAGGTCGATAACTTCTATGATGTTGATTATTTTGTTGTTCCCAAGCTGTATCTTCATTTATTGTGTCCAAAATTGTCGATGTTGGTAGTTGATGTTGTTGATGATGATTATCATTAAAATTAAAATCCGGTTCACGAATAGACAATGTTGTTCGAAATGAACCGGGTCTATGTGCAATTGTTGGTGTTTCAGCTGATGAACTTGACTCAGATGTTGACGAACGATTATCATAGGTTGATAATAAATCTTCAAGTGTCGGAGTACGATTTGTATGATGATGATGAGAAGAATGCGAAGATGACAACATAGGTGGTTCACTAACTTTATAATGGCCAGATAGTAAACGTTGATGACCATTTTCAACATTCGACGAAGAATGATGAAATATACCTAAGATAAATATCAAAAATGATTTCAAATTATAGGTGTTAACTCTTTCTGTTACCGGAATCTGGCGATAAACGTGGCGTTATTGAATTTGAATCATCATCTCTTACATCCAATGTGTACGGTGATGTTTGCTGATCACCCAAAGGTGTTTTTGATTTGAAAAATAGTCCTTGAGCTTGTGAACGTGATTTTTGTTTGAAAAATGGTGGTACTCGTCTTCTTGCACGTTGTATTTTATAATAGATAATGATAATCATCGATGCTAGTACAATAAAAACGAATCCGATTACAGATGCAATAACTGCATACAATGTACTTTGATCTGTTTTTGTAGCAATTATTTGAGATTGAGTATTTGTCGAGAGAAAATTTTTAACAGTGACAGTTATATCTGCATTACTCATCGATGTTGTTGAAGAATTCAAACATAGTTGTAAAACATTTACACGCATTTGATAGGCTTCACGAGTTGGAAGAGATGTACTAGAGTATCGTAATGAACCCAATGAATTTATTGTAAATAATTGATTGATCATAGATGAATTATCTAAATTGACTATTGTATATTGCACTTGACATCGACCATCTGTAACGGTCTAAAGTCGATAATCAAATATAGATCATTGGCGTGAATATTCAGTCAGTTTCACTTACCTGAACAGTACCAATTGATGTAGCATTTAGTGGATAATCAGCCGAAAACAAATAGGAACTCTTACTAAATACTGGTAATACAAAAGTTATTACGGTAATTTCAGTAGAATCGGTCTGAAAAACAAAAAATGGATCAATGAGATATGACTAAGAAAATATGTTATGCCTACGTTTAATCCATCAGTAACGTTAAATTGACATGTACATGGCGCACATAAGGGTAAATCCGTTGGATTTTCTGTTTGCACTTGAAATTGTCGCACACTAGACGTTAAAAAACTCTCTTATCATTTCTTTTAAAGTCTCATCAATTCGATCAACATACTTAGTTTTTGTCACCTGCAAGATTAGATTTGCCATATTGCAAGATACTGAGTATTGTAACCTCGGATTCTAATCATAAATAGAAAAAATTATACTTTCAAGGTACTGAGAATGTTATTCTGCGTACTATGTCTGAATCAGTAACAGTTCCATTGAATGACGGTGTTTGTTCTCTTGAATTTATCGTATATCCAATTAATGAGTAGGGTGAATTTACAAATCGTGGAGGATAAAGATTGATTTCATAAACATTTACATATAATATGGTTGTTACTGAACGATTCGCGTTATCTTCTTGTTCAGCCTATTTTTGAAAATAAATCGTTTAAAGTTATGATATCAAGATAAAACAAAAACAAAATTTACCTTCAATAGCAGATCAAATCGTGTCGGAAAACTAAAATTTCTTTGTAATGTGATTGTACCCGTTGTCTTACTAATAATAAGATAGGTGTCTAGAACAAAGATATGAAAGTGATCTTTTAATTAAAGTTGCTCCTTACATCGACGAAATATACAAGCTTACTTGCAGTCATTGAATATAGAATTGTTGCATTAATTCCAATATCTTGATCATAGGCGTTGACTGAACCCTCATTCGGTATAACAACAGAACTCTTAATGAAGACATGAAAATTCGATATAGTTTCCTATAGTAATTCAAAAGATTATTTCTTACTGCTGGAGTATCAATCGAAATATTTAAATTATATGAACTGGATCTAAATGCTGGATTTAGATTATCAACATCAATTAATCGAATACTAACTGTGGTTTGAGACGATAATGATGGTACACCATTGTCCTGTAAAAGATGATTTTCTCACACATATTAGAAATGGGGAAAAGAATGAGTAAATTACTTGTGCCATAATAGTTAAATTAAATCGTGATGCCATTTGATTGTAATCCAACGGTTTTAATAATATCAGACTTGCATTTGTTGGAGTCGCCAAACGAAAATAAGACTAAAATATGAGAAAAATAATCAAAAGAAAAAATTGAGACAGTATTCAATAATTTTTTTGCATACACTATATTGTGAATCATTTGTAAGATAATAAACAAATGTTCCTCCTATCCCGGAATCGAGATCGTATGCCGATATACCAGAATAAATAGTTGAATTGACAGCAGCTGTTTCCAGTACATCAAGAGAGTAGACCGATTGATTAAATTTTGGAGCGTTGTCGTTAACACTGAAAATAATCAAATAAAGAAAAATTTTAATGTAACAATTTTAGCCAAAATAACTTATGTTATTCGATGAATAACTTACTCTATTAAATCCATTTGAAAATCCAGATCATGCTAAACACAACAAAAAGAAATTGAATATCTCTTATAGTTAAAATAAATCTAAACTACTTACGACAGACTGATTTGCTTTTATGGTACATAAAACAATGATACGAAACGGATTCGGATAACCATTCGCTGTCCACCACTCATAATCAAGAGCTAAATAAATGGATTTACGAGTAAAGTGAATAGAGGGTGAGTGGATAAATGCACACGGTTCGAATGGCATATACTCCATTTAATTTTTTTCATATATAAGTATTATCATATAGAAAATATTGATGATATTCGCAAATACTTACTATAACGTAAATAGAGACTGGTAAAATTTAATGAAAAATAATCTGTTCCATTTGTTTTAACCACTGCACTATTGTAAGCCAATTGAGTTTGTATTTGATCTGTCGTACCAAATATTTTTAACGTTGTTATTAAATCCCCTAGAACAAAAAACAAAAACAAAAATATATTTGTCGTACGAAAACATGATTTTTATTAATCAAATCTTACCCGGTTCTTTACTTTCTAACATACTCAGAATTTGATCTGCAGGTAAATATTGTAATTTACACGGTTCTTGACTCTGACCTGGAACAAAAATACCGAATCATAAGTTTTCGAGGGCTAGATGGCTTATTTTAGTAGTCTAAAAATGCCTTTCTGGTCATTATTTAAGCATAATGGTTTGAAAATGATGAGTTGCCAACTGTTCGTTCACATCTGAAAGCCTAATATTTGGAAAGGGAGCATATTAATTATTAACTTTTCTTTTTATTCTTTATTCTTGAATACAGAGAACATTTCAACAGGGATGTAAGAGAGTTCACCTGCCTAGTTTCGATTTCCTACAGGAAAACGTCTAGTTCCATTTTCAAGAGCAATAAAAAAGAGAGAAAACTAAATTTTCGTGAAAAAACTTTTAAAAACTGTAAAGCTTTACGCTCAGAACTCGTCAAAATTTTTAAAGGGGATGGAGCCTGTAAGACTCAATTAGCCGTCTATTCTGTTGATACTCGAAAAGTGAGAAGTTTCAATACTCAGTTTAGCAGTAACAGAACGAGTTTTACAACTCTAAATTAAAACAATGTAATTCAAATGAAGAAAGATTGCAAAATCGACAACAGATAAATAACTGCAAAAAAGTGTACTTTTATACTTTCGAAACTCTGTAAGATGATAAATAATATTTTCTTTTCTGTCCCTCTTTCTGTTCTACAATCTCTTATCAAACTTTTTCAAGTTAGTATTTCTGATTGATGCAGACAGAAAAATCAATTTCTTAAGACATCCGAAAGAGCTCTCCAACATCTAGTTTCAGCGAATACCAACATGACACTAGAATCTAATTTAGATGCTCATATTTTACTATGAAAAGTATGACTAGTTCGTATTGAAATGATTGACACACAAACATCTGTGTCCTTCACACTGTTATGTGGATTAACTGAAATTTTATGGTGACTATTAATTCAGTTCATCAAGACCAATGACTCTATCGTCTCATCCATCATAACTTTTTCTTTTATTATTTTATTGTTGAAATAGTCATCATTCACATTGTATATGTTAAAAACATTCGATGAATACTAATTAGGAGTTCAATAGTTATTTCGTTTCTTCTTTTTCTTCTGTTTTGTTTTGGTCACCTTTGTATTCTTGCTTCTGTCTAAGTAGTCTTGTGAAATTTAAAGTATGTCTGGCTATTCTTTTCTTATTGTTTAAAAAGAAATGAACTTACCTTTTACTTGTCCAACGAGTACATAGATCAGCAGCCAATACCAAACGCCGATCTTTGTTGTCAAACACGTTTTTCTCATTGACGAACATTAATCACACAATCAATAAATTAAACTATCACCACATAATTTTTATCCATCTAAATTAAAAAATAACATTTTTAATTTTGGTTATTGAAATAATAGTTTCGTATGTCAAATAATATTTGTTTTTCTATAATTATTTATTCCATAAGGATATGTTTATTAACAAAACATTATGCAAACATAAAAATCAGAAAGCAAACGCTCAAAACGGAAAAAGTTAAAAGAAACTATTTTCATTCTATTTAATATCATCGGCATGCGGAATCGAGGCTATTTAATAGTCGAAGTATGTGTGCGTATGATATCTATTTTTGGCTTACTTTTTCTATAAATTGTCGGACAATTGACTGTTATATTAATTTTTTTGATAGGATTTTCTTTAGAGTTAAAATTAAATATCAACTATTCTTTGTTCATCATATTAATATTCCAAAATCCGATTAAGAACAGAGAAACATGCGATAGTTTGTCATCATATACAGTTCTATTTTCAAGATTCGCTTCGTCTATACGAGTTATTCTCTCTCTCTCTCTCTTTCTCTCTTTCTCTCCCCCTGTTTTTGTCTTATTTTGAACTGTACGATGTTGACAGGTATGATCTTTTATTCATTGACATGTTTTGACTCCACTATGGATGTGTAATGATTTCTTTCTACATTGTTCAGCTTTTCTTGTTGTATGTGCGTGATTTTCTATTGTTCTGGTGATTATGAATTTCTCTCACACAATACAAAATAACGAAAATTTTTTTCTTCCTTTCTATTATTATAATTAGTATTATTGCAAAGCTTTCTTGAATATAGTATTTGTGCTGTGAATATGAAAGAAAGTATAGCATATGTAAGAATTACAGCATCTATCAAACAATGAAAACGAAGAAACGAAAAAGTTTTCAAGTGTTATGTTGTGAAAAGTGATCTTTTCATTTTTACTTAATAAATCTTTATTCTAGATTTTTTTCCACTCAAAGAAAAGCTTACCTACCTAAATGAACGTTGAATGATTTCTTTCGTTTAAACAGATAAGCAAATAAATAATCATATCTTCGCACATTAATAACAATTTCAAATAATAACCGATCTATTATATGGGTAAAACAAAGTTTTACAGTCAAAATGAATACAAATGTGAGCAAATATCTGGACACAATTCTCGTATTATAATTGTCCCATAAAATTATAATTTCAGTAAAACTTAATATCAGAGCAAATCAAAAAAGACAACAATACTGTAGTATTTAATGCACTGTATATTTAATCTACAGAAGTTCTTCTAGTCAAATGAATAAAAAATTCATCATATCAGTACAAACAGACATGGTAATTCACTATGATCATATATTCTTTCTTATCCAAAAGAGTAACATTTTTCCTATGAATGGTACCAGTTACATTTTCGAAATGCTCAAAATAATCTTACGAGGGAGCATAATTGAGTGACCCCCCCCTAGAAAAGAGACGAGACCTGGCCTATCTTGTAGAGAATTTTACGCTGATCACGAATATGTATACCTTAGCTGCCCTCGTTGCGATCTCGATGCGAGAGAGAACATGATTTATTTTGCCTAAGGTGAGTGCAAAAGTTGAGTAAAATTTTTTTTGAACTTATTATACATTGTTCGATAGAGCTCGTTGAGCTGGTTAAATATATTTTTTAAGTTTCAAAAGATTGTTTTCATGTCGAAAAATCGAAAAAGCTCGATACAGCGCAAAAACTCATGTTCTCTCTCGTACCGAGATCGCAACGAGGGCAGCTAAGATATACATATTCGTGATCAGCGTAAAATTCTCTACAAGATAGGCTAGGTCTCGTCTCTTTTCTGGGGTGGGGGGGGGGGGGGGGTTTCCCCATTTTTTGGCCCCGGGGCGGTGTTATCCCCAATTTTCGGTTTTGGGGTTTGTAGTTTTTTTTTTTTTTTTTAAAATTTTGG